TTGGCGGATGTGTGGTAGAATAATGGGTACATACCGGGAGATTTGTCTCCCGATATGTACCCGTTATTCATTGATTCTACCTGTGTAAATTAAAATAGCACTTACGTAAAAAAAAAAAAAAAAAGAAAAAAAAAAAGCCGATATATACAGCAGATAGCCTTAACCGGGTACAGTGGGTAAAAATTTTATACCCGAGAATACCCATCGATCACTCGGGTAACCCGCGGGTATACTTGCCGGTTAACCGGGTAATATTTTTTTGACTGAGTACAATCACTAATTTTAATATATTTTAATATGAAATTTTTGGGGTGCTTTTTTTTTTAGCTTTTTTAAAAGTTAGATTAGGGTTTAAGGTTAGATTTTATAATAAAAGAGTATAAGTGAATTTTGGTAGTTTTAAATCAAGTTCCCTAATTTCCAGTTTCAGTCACGATAATTATTTTTATATTTAGTAATTAAATTGGCCCATATAAACATTATTCTAAAATCTCCAACTCTCAAAAAAAAATATTACCATTTTTTCTTCTTCTTTTTGAAAAAAAAAATGTTTCTGTTTTATTTCTTGCTATCATGCCTTGCATCATATTATATTTTCAGGTCAAAAACTCCACATGGCCTTAAAAAACTCCCTTCACCACCAGGTAGAAGGTTTTATTTTGGTTAGTATAAAAAAATCAGAGCAAAAATTTTAATGCTTTATTGTGAAATTCCTCCCACTGCAGTTATTCATTGAACCAATTGTAAATCCTAGTAAATCCAAAGATTTTATATGAAAGCGATTTTTGTATATAGAATTAAATAGATTTAGGCTTATTCATATAGAATAAAATTATGGTAACAATATTATATCTTTATGTTAACTACCTAAAAATATTACAATGAGTAAACATAAAACTTACGAAAAGAATTTAGATATGCCATGTAAACCTAAATAGAAAAAAAATTATATTTATCATTATTATAACTAAATATTTGAAATTTCTGGTAGACGAGATTGACCAATTGCTCGATCAAGTTCTTGATGAGCTTTAGATTGACGTGGGGGTTATTAGCTAAAGCAGCAGTAAGCCATGTTAAACTTGCTGAAATTGTGTCCTAAAAATTTTAATTATCAATAATTTTAACATTATACAGAAAAAAAAAACACTTTTTATAATATTTACAGATCCAGCAGCAAACATCGAACTTGTTATATAAATAACGTCTAGTTCATCAAGGACTTCTTCATCCTTTTTATGAAGTAAATCTCTAATAAAACATGGCTTCTTCTCTTTATCATCCATAACTTCATTGATCAATTTTCTATAAAAAGCCTCAACAATATCTCTATTCTCAATTAATTTATTATATAAATTATTGTCTGGTAACCACTTCAATATTGGAAAAAAAAACAGACAATCTATTCGTCACTTTAAGTAATTCAGTACGCTTTGCAATAAAATCTTCAAATTCAGTATAAAATGGATCATCCACACTTTCTTACGCTTGTTTGAACATAAGATGCTTATAATATTTAAACTAGCAAGTTGAAAATAATATTTAGGATAAAAAGCATCTTCTGTTTTAACTGAAGCTTTATAAAGGTTTTGCATAAGAATACGAAATTCATCATCTAGTAGTTTAAATTTTTTTTTAACATTGCGTTGGAGAATTTCATACACTATTTTAAGTAATGAGAATTAAAACTATGAAAAAAAAAGTAGTAAAAAAGTTTAATACATTCAATTACTTACTAATAGAAATGATCATTTTATATCTCTCATTATATGGACAACTGATAATATTCCTTCCTCGGGTCAATACATCATGAATATTATAACTTGGTATACGAGTTGAACATTTTCCACCACCTATTATTTATAAAAAAGTTTTTCCAATTACTATCTAGACTCATATAATAAGTTAGCATAAGAATTTAAATTAGCTTACGCTTTTGTAAAAGGTCACCAACAACCTTATCACTAGTAAATATAATCCAATATTGCTGACCCATATGTACACCATAAATATCGCCTAAACTCCTCGCCCATTCTGTAAATCTAATTAGATTATATGTTAATAAGGATACGTATCATTTCACCGACAATCATTTCGTCAACATCTCATTTCACCGACAATTGATTCATCGACAAGTTCATTTCACCGACAATTATTTCAGCGACATTTAGTTCACCGACATGTTTAATTTACCGACGTGTTTAGTTCACCGACAATTGATTCGCAAACAATCATTCTACCGACTAGCTTATTTCGCCGATAATACGTTTCACCAATGATACGTTTCACCGACAAGTTTAATTACTAATAATACACAGGTTGAATCAATTGATATCGGGTTCATACCTAGAGACAAGTTTCCCGATATGTACAGTACCTGTTATTCTGCTGAATATCAGCAACATATTGGCAGCATAATTGTAAGGTATCAGGAGGCAGATCGATATCGGTAACATGACAGTATAATATTGGGATACCCTGATATTTTACTCTTAGCACTCTGGGCTTAAAAGTAAGATATCGGGGTATCTCAATATTTTGCTGTTATGTTGTGATATCGATCTATCGCGGTTCTATGGGAAACTTTTCTCCCGGTATGCACCCGATATTCATTGATTCGACCTGTGATATTTACCTACAATTACAGCTGTTTTCATAAATTCTGGGACACCTAAAAATTTTCTCGTTTCCCGAAATCTCTTCGATCTCATTCTAAGAATCACCTACCTTTTCGGAAACTAC